GGAAAATATGGGGTAAAAAAAGACCAAAATGGGGGTAACATTCAGGATAGAACAGAGATCATGAAGGGGAGGAAATACTTCAAAGAAATAGCCGAAAATTTTTCTAGAATCAATGATACTAACCTTAAGATTTCAAAGAACTGACTTGAATGTCAAACAGCAAATGGAAAAAAAAAAAAAAAAAAACACTTCACAACATCACAGATGAAGATATTCTTAAAAGTTACAAGAGAAGGGATAAAAAGGTTACTGCAAAGGAATGAGAATCAGATTGACACACAGCAAAACTAGATGTAAGAAAACAACAATGACTTTAAAGAGCTCAGGGAACATGATAGGCAGAATTCCTAAAGTGGCCCCCAAGATTTCCTACCACCCCAAAAAGTTAAAAGTGTTAAATAGAAAACAAGATGGCAAGAGTAATTCTAAACTCATGCCTATTAAGAAGGGTGACTAATTGTGAGCTAGATTTTAAAATGTGTGCCTGGCACATGTAGGGGTTCAAAAAGTTAGTGTCCACTCTTGTTTTAATAGAAACATTTTACTGTAGTATTTTAAGCAAATGCCAGACAATTCACCCTCCTATTTTCTACAAGCAATTCACCACTCTCCTAAAAACATATCAAACTTTTGTGAAGGAATCTTCCACAAATATTAATGAAAATATTTTCACATTTATCATTTTCCTTATTTAGTGTCTTGTAAGGTTTTAGTAGATCCTTGAAACAGTAGGAAATGTATGAAATTCAGTCTGACTGCACACATTCTCTTCACCTGTCCTGTTGATAACCGTCCCAGCCTTTCAGTTCTTGATCTCCCAAATCCTCTCCTAGAGTCCATCCTAACACCATACCTTGACAGAGCATCTCTCATGTCTCCTGCCATTACTTCCCTCCCTTTTATATAATCATCTGATAACTACAGAGAGCCAATTAGCATGACAAGCACCATTCTAAATCCTGGGTGAGCATAAGCAGTTATGGTCTCAGCTCTCAATGTAGTTTACAGTTGTTACCACAAAGAATGCAACTGTAATGTGTGATAGAAAGAAGTACACCATGTAACTCAGAGTGTAGAATAGAGAGCTCTAGGAAGGCTTCCCCAGATGAAGTAACAGATTTTAAGTATGAACAGAAATAGCTGATGGGTAGGGGAAGGAAGAAGGAATAGCATGAGCAATGGCCCAAGGGAGCAGGACAAATTTGGGAACTGAATGGCTACGTAGTGTACAGTAAGGGAGCACAGTGAAACACAAACATGAGCAGGCAGGAACCAGTCTGTATAGGCAGGGCTTTAAGGTCCTGTATTAAGAATATTCCCTCTCTTAATTTTGGAATGGGGTGCTTAAAAGAAACATTCCCTCTCAAATGTTTTAAAAGGAATTGGGGCGGGGATCAGGTGTAACATAAGTAGATTTGCATTTTGAAAAGTTCAATCTGGCTACAGTGATCGAAGGGAAGTTAAAAATTGATTAGGAGTCTATTTCAGCTGTGTAGATAGGAGATCATTATGTTTGGCTGTGAAAGTAGTAGAAAAGAAGATAGTAGATTTGAAACAGATGTGTAAGATCATATTGAGAATTTGGTATTGGTTTAGACAGGAGGAAGTGTGGGTTAAAGAGACAGCCCTATGTCTGGCTTCCTTGTTTAGGTTATTGTGCTATTGTCTATCCACTCTTATCCTCTCTGGTCTATCCACTCTTTGAAAAACAAACTTTTTATTTTGACATAATCTCAGAATTACAGAAAACTTGAAATAGTATAATACAAAGAATTACTGTATGCCCTTTATTCATATTTCCCAAATGTTAACTTTTTATCACATTTGCTTTACCTCTCTCTGAACTCAAAGTAAGTTGCTGACATGATACCCCTTTACCCCTAAATATATCAATGTGTATTTCTCAAAAACAAGGGCATTCTCTCACATAGTCACACAATTGTCAACATCAAAAAATTAATACCATTAGCTAATCTATAGGTCTTAACTCAAATTTCACCAAATATCCTTACAATATTATTTATAGAAAATTATCACTCATTGTGTTCAGTTGACAGGTTTCTTTAAAGTCATCTTGTATCTGAAAGAGTTCCAAACAGTTTCATAACCTTGAGTATTTTGGTAAGTTATGGCCCTTAAATTGGTTTTGTCATCATGAGGTATTTCCTCATGAGGGAGCTAATCATCTATTCACTCTTGAACCCACTACAATATGGCTTTTCCCTACTTCCTTGCTGCCTGAAGTCAGCAGTGGTATTGTAATGGCAAAATCTAATAGGACAGGGTAAGTCCAAACTCTGACAAGGCAAACAAAGATTGTCTACTTACCTTCACACAATTTCCCCTACAGGAATACCAAGCTATCTGTAGATACTTGAACACATCACACTGTTTCATGTCTCCATGACAGGCTATGTGTTTGTTTCCATTATTTAAAGCCTTGATACTCAATATAGGCCAACAGCATTTGAATCACCTGGGACTTTGTTAGAAATGCAGAATCTCAGGCTTTATTCCAGACCTACTGAATCAGAATTTGCATTCTAACAACATCCCTCAAGTAATTTGTTTGGAAAGCACTACTTTGGAACACCTTGCCCTTCTTCCTCTGTAAATTCCAATTAAGTAGTTGAAGCAGCACTTGGCATTACCATCTTTTTGTAGTTTGTGTCTTTGACCATTTCTAATCTCCCTTAACCTCTCTCCTTCTGGCTTCTAGGCAGAGCTACATACTCCTTCTTTATAGAATATTTTTAGCATATATCTGTGCCCACCATACCATATAATAGTTATTTTTGTCTTTCTCCTATTACATTATAATTTCTTTGATTTCCTGTGATTCACCATTGATTCTTCACTTAATAGTCTGCCTGGCACAGAGGAGGTGCTCAATAAATTTTGACCTCTAATTTTACTTAATTCTATAGAAATCACTAACAGTAAAGGAAAAATTAAGGCCCAGATATTTAAGATATATATAGAATGAAATTTTTCATTATGTTATTGATATACTACTATTAATTCTGTGCTAACACATTTACACTCTTATTTTTTAAATCAAATAGTAGAGCAACATTAGAAGAAATAGACTCACCACATCTTCTCTAACACAGCATGTATTTTCATTTTTGCATGCTCCCTTCAGTATTATCATGATAGTATTGCTATTATGGATATTGTTAAAATAATCATCTTCATGGGTACATTTTTTTCCCTTTTGAAAAAAATTTAGTTTCAGGATAAATTCCAACAAGTGGAATTATATCATGAAAAAGTACCTGAACATAATCTATACTTTCCTGTATTTCTTTATGCTTTTTCACCTACACATAGACAATTTTTCTTCGTTCTTGGTGCTTTCAT